CTGTCTAGAGTCTATAATTACAAATGCGTTGTGTAACATATTTTGAAGCTTAAAGACAAAAATACAAAACCCTACAACTTGAGCGTTTTCAAAATGTGGATCTTTCTTCATCGAGGGCAAATGTTAAAGTTTGACATTAAAAGGTAAACAAAGTAAGTCAGTAGCGCTTATGCTTCCAACAAAACCATACCTCTTAATGTATCTACAAGACTTAGATAATTTACTACAAAGAACCATACTTATGATATGATAGTATTTCCACAACCAAGTAACAAAAGATCGCTACTGACTCACTAGATGGGTCTTTAAAGAAAAGAAATTTACAGATATTTTCAAAGTTTTATTCACATTTAAAACGTTAGTCAATGAAGCATTACAATATTCAAAATGTGACTATAAAAATATACTGAAAAACCTTTGTTCTTTAGTTGGTAGATATATGTATAGATATGTATGTACAAGTTATTCTATGTTATTTTTAAAAGTAGTTTTTTTATGCAGCCCATGGAATGAGAGAAAACTCCAACTAATTGGAGCATCTGAAGTTATAATCAAAGTTCTTGTAATCTAGGGTATTATGACACCAAAGGTGGTATTTAACTCTATATCTGTATTTAACATTTGAAATATCTAAAATATAACAACTGACCTATTGTAAATTCTACAATTTAACAGGTAAACCTGCTGATATTTAGTTATTCAAAGAACCTACTTCAAACTAATTTCAACTATACTGAGTCTCATTTGGCTATAAAAACTGCTTAATGAAAGTAAATAATCTTTCAGAATCCTACTCTAACTTAAAGTTTTGAAACAATCAAAAAATGAATATTTATACAGAAGCACAATTATCTAAGCTTAAATTGCATTTGATGATCAGAATATTAACAAACTAATTACTGGCAAAGGCTCTCTTGGTTAATTAAAATTCTATTTATAATCAACCACACTTTTCTTATATGTTCTTTTTTTTCTAGTTTGTATAAAGTCCTTCATCAAGCTACAGTTTTTCTTCCTTTTGACAAAATCAATATTATCATTATAACAAGTTGGCTATCTAATAGCCAAGCCTGTAAATAATTTAAAAACAGATTACAAATATCAATAATATAAAACACCAAAATATCTTACATAACCTGTAATAAGAAATATTTAGAAAAAAACTGACATTTTACTTTGCCAATACAAGTTTATTAAAAGCAAAGTTGCATATTTAAATTCAAAACGAGATAAATCCCCAGCTCATACTAACTTGTACAAGTCTCTGTGCCATCCCTTGAAATGAGTCTGACTTCACTTCAGGAGGGAATCAAATGACTGAACTTATTTGAAAACAAAAAGAAAAAAAAGACAAACTGATTCAGACACAAGCCAGAGAGTAGTTACTAAGGCTCCTAGACCACATTAGAACAGTGATCATTAGGACCCTCTTTCCTCCCAAACAGTTTTTACATTTCAGCCTGTGGATTATGCTTCTCAATTATAAGAGAAATTATTATTGCAGAGAAAACAATAATTCGATAACTTATCACATAATTAAATCATAATTTAATACATATTAAAAACACTTAACTCACAAAAATGTTATTCTTTAACATCATACACAAAACTGTACTTCCAAACAACAGAGCACCACCAATTTAACAAAGTGAACATGTAAGAGATCAATTTAGCCATTAGTTACAGAAGATAAACATAAGCACTGTCAGATAACAAAATAACATGAAGAAACAAAAATAAAATTATCTATATCAAACTACAACTTACACAAAGCACTCATGATTCAGCTTTTCAGCAACTAGATTGGTCTTTAGACTATATCAAAGTAAAATTTGAACCATTTTATTTATAAGAGGCACTATTTTTAGGAGAAGAATACAAAATTGGTCAAGTAAATCCAAAATGTTTACTTGACAGTCAAGTATTAGATATCTCCACAGCCATGTAAAATTAGCAAGCATTCTGGTTTTTCCATTTTCCCACAAAGTTTGGTTTGTTTTGAATTTTGCACAAAGCTACACAAGGGCTATCTGCAGTAGCTATCCCTAATTTAGCAGTGATAGACTAGAGAAGGCATTAGATTGTGAGTCAAGCACCCTTACCATCTGGTCATGCCAAGCCAAGAGGAAAGAAGTATGTGCCTTAACTATTTTTGTATGTTTTAAAGCAACATCTATATAAATACTTACAATGCTAGTATATTAAAAAAAAAGAAAGATCACTCAGACCTAGCAAATAATAATTGGCTATTTGCACTCTGTCTACTGCTGGGAATTGAACCCTGGATTGTAGCATGTAAGTCCATAAACTTATCTTTGACCCATTGGGGAGGGCAGTACAGATACAATTTCTACGTCTAAGTGAATCCAGTATGTCCTGAAATGTCAATGTAATGGTGTAATAAACAAAAATGTATATTCAGCTTGACAAAACTGGTCTAATTGGTGCTTTCAATCAAATAAAATCTAATGATTTTCATTTCCTTAAGAAATGTCAAAACATTTATTGAAACAAACCTCTAGTGTTAAAAATACATATATATAAAAAAAAATGGAACTAAATTACTACAATAATGGAAATCATATCTGAGTTACATTTAAGGTGCTGTTGGTTGGGGTTCAAGAATTTTAGAAGATATTTCTATATAAGAAATAAAAATCCAAAGACTGATTTAGCTTCTAATACACACTTGCCCAAACAGGATCAAATTTAATGGTAAATGTGATGATACATTTTAGCGTGCACATCAGTGACAAGCCAAATAAATCCCTCTGGATTCTGACTAAATATTAGAGAAAGATAGAATATATTTAAAGGTAGGCTACTGAAAAAAGAAAACAAAAAACGTTTCAATATATTAAACCAAATTATTAGTATCCAGTTTGAACTTAATAATTAGAAACCAGAAAATATGAAAAATCCATATTATCTGAAGTAAATAAGACTGGACTTGTAAATAAGATATCTTAAATGAGAAAATCACCAAATGATCAAAAACCATTTGAATCATCTATGCTACACATAAGTCTTAATACAGAAGTGGAGTTTTATAAGATTGACAGCTCTCTACTTGTCTGCTTATAGGTTTTATTTGATCACGATAAAAACACTATATATATAATACAGTTTCACTGTTAGGATAGTGTCAACTTGAGGTGAGAGGTTAAGTTGAAGGTCAAAGTCAGTTAAATTCAATTACTACTCACACACCAAAAGTGTATCTACATTTCAGGAAAAACTCAAAAACAATTAACTTCAACACTTGTATCACTAAAAAATAAAATTATTCTACATGGAAATTTACAGAAACAAGTGAACAATTAAAAGCCTTTAAGTGTTATGGCTTGACTTTCCATTAAGGTACTTTTTTTTCACATATAACTAGCATTTGATATTTAAACTTACTTTAAATGTGACTTTGCAAAAGCAATTAGTAATTGCTTATTGCATTTGTACAAATGAAGCACACTGTACAGTATTTCAATTAAAAATATATAATGTTTTTTCACAATATTTTTTGAGCAAATAAAAAGAGATCTAATAAAAGTATACACTTTGTTTCACTGTATCACTTTAATATTTTTGGAATTTATTATGATGGAATATTTAATATATTCTACAACAGGATACTGCTTTTAATTAAATATAACACAGGCCTGCAATGTTTTTATTGTCTTGAAATTTTTACGATCTACTGTAACTCCTGTACGCTAAATCCAAAAACGATAACCATTTTTTTTTCCCACCACGTACAGATTTTTCACAAAACGTCATACATACTTTTACATAAGTGAATCATTTTCATTGAAACAAGATCACATTTTGTTATGCTTTAAATATTGACAACCACTGGCTATAGATTCTCTAGACCAATCGTGATGCGAGAGTCTTATCGATCGTTCTAGAACCCACGAGAAACACACCGCTAGTATATAAATGGTTAACAGGTCGCATGACGTGTCATTTCTGGATAATATTTGCACGTACATGTACTTTGACATTACTTTTTTTTTCTTTTTAATATTATTTATTTGTGTAAATGACCTAAACATATTCTGTTATATTTGTGGTAAATTTGATCTAAGTAAGAATTTTTTTTATTATTCCCGATTTGTAAAATATCCTTACATGATAGAAAAAAATGAATATTATTTTTGAAGTCTGTATAGCTGAATTATGGAAAATCCATTATTGAAACCAAAACAACTTTTATGAAGTTTAAATATGTAGGCATGTGTAATCTTTAATATCAATTTTTTTCAATTTGGTATGAAAAATGGCTCAACAATAAAGGCTCGTAGATGTGAAACATTTTTCATCTCACTATAGTGATATATGTTCGATATATGCATTTTTATACAACAAAACCATTTATTAACTTTTGTACATGATAATTTGTAATGACTGGATCATAGAATACATTTATTATTTAGGTGTACTCTTTGCATTAATTTTTTTATAGAGAATTTACATGTTCACCAGAATATAAAGATATATATCTCTTTCGTCACACAAAATTTGCAAAATAATAATCAGAATTATGGAAAGCATGAATTATACCAGATTTCTGTTTATCTTTCTATTAACAGTTTTGTTTGCAGCACAAACCTACACTATGAGGTATCAAAACCTAATTTTTGGCATTATAAGCCCTCTTAGCTATCAAAAAGCCACCAGGGGATTTTATTAACAGAAGAATCACAACCTGAAACATTTTTTTATACAAGAATATGTTGTACAAGTTATTACATTTAATTCTGAAAATGGTTGAGTCATATTTATAGCAGTTTCTTGTCCTAAAATACTGGTTCTTTCTAAGAGTACCAACTTAATTATTATAAATACTCAAGGCAAGCTGTTATTATCTTTATCATTTTCACCTTTTTTCTAATTCCCTAATTTGTAAAGCATTTAGTCACTCACGTGCATATTTTCTCAGAGTTCTCAAGCCTTTAAATATTTTAGAAGTACTTGTCTCAATAAACTGTTGAAAGATGGAATTAAATGCTACTACCTTTATTTATTCACCCATTCTCAAACCTCAATACAGATAGATGTTCAATGCCACAACGTCGAGACAAAACATTATTCATCTTGAGGCCTTGTCCAAACATAAACTCTGTAATTTCATCTTTGGAGGAAAAACAAGATAAGAAAACAGTATTAGAATACTTAATATTCCAATAAGGAAATACTATGCCAATTCTTCAGGTAGTAAACATTTATAAGCTTCAATTCCTTGTAAAAATGTATTATAAACACTCATAGAATATAATATCATTAAATTATAAAGAAATAACTACATATATCAAGTTAAAATCATACTTAACTTTCATTTAAAATGTTATTTTAATTACAATAACTGTCTTATAACTTGCATCCATTTCTGTGATAAATCAGCAACTGTAACACGATTATCTTACACATAAGTACTTATTCTGAACAAAAATATGTACCAGGATTATTATCTTTTAAGACGACAATATAAAACAGGCCCTTGGTACTCAGCAGTTGAGGTACAAATGGAAAAAATCGATCCATAACTTGTCTTCCTTTAATTCCACCAGCCCATGCTGCCTGCAGTGATTGGGTACCCACCTATAACCATAAAAATAAGCACATATTATTCATAATATTAGTACGTTCAATCAGGTTCAATAACACATACTAATAAATGTATTCTATAGCACTTCCTTATTAAGTGTTGTTCCATAACAAATATTAAACCCAAATAAACCTTGAAGTTTTAGAGTAAACTATAAAAAAAGAACATTAAAAATTGAACTCGGAATATTTTAACAAACTTCCCGTTGAATCCCAAACTTGAAACATATGCTCTTGCACAGATTTCATATGACAACACTTGTATAAACAAGAAGTGGGAACATGTTTTATTTCTTACAGTAAGCCAACTTTCCCATAAACACTGAATCTGAAGTATTCTATCTTGTATATATTGAATGTACATAGAACATAGAAAATATTTATTGTACACACTCAGAATAAAGATTTTTCTTTGAACACAGAACCTGGATATTGGCTTTTACAAGTATTCAGAAAAGAAATATCCTATGATAAGAAAAGTCAGAACGTTTCTCACACATCTTCAGTGTAGAGAGTTTCCTGTGTAAGCACAGAACTTGGAGTTCTCTCAAGCAATACATCCACTTTTCTAAAACTTTATCTTTTTACTTTGTTAATTATTCTTCTATAGGTTACTTGTCTGCAATGATTGTTTAGAAACTACAGAAGTCATCAAAGCAAATGATCTTTCACTAAATCGTGATAATGACCCCAGCAACATCAACTGTCTTTGGCAAGGTCTATTCACCACTCATATACTTGACCTCTATCCATATCCTGTCATCTACTGACACCATTTAATCCTTGTGTCTTTTGTCCTTGTAAAGATATATAAAACTTGTACTGCTTAGTACTGATCATATCTGAAGAAGACAGACCAATGTTCTGTCGAAACATGTAGTATGTTCCACCATCAATAAAACTTTTCCTTATGCTTACAAATCATTGTTTGCCTACCTATTATTATATTACCACAATATGCTTCCTCACTCAAATACTTTCGGGCAACAATCACTTTGTTGAATCTGTGTGGTATTTTAAATATCATATTTGCAAAGACACAATACCTTTATCTACAGACTGAAGGCTACAGTGATGAAAGGGCCTATTATCTACCTGTGCCATTAACAAGATAATAAATGAGGATTTGGATATGATATAGGTCCAAAATTCAAAACATTACAAGCTCTGAGACAAACCTCTAAAATAATGGCTGTTTTCATATGAATGAAGGCCAAATAAACTGGAATCACAGCAATTCTATTCAGCAACAAACCTGTGAAGTCCCATGATTCTACTCCCATAGAGTTTGGTCTAATCTAGTTAAACACGATCCTAGAAGCAAATGTCCATATGTAGTAGAGGATACAAGGTTTACAACTAACCTTGTTGTCCTCTGCAGAAGTTGGTTACAAAGGAAATTGTGGGGCAGGGCAATAGTGCATATATTGTGTTCATCAGGTTAACCATGGAGGATGTAATTCCAAATATAGCATAAGACGGAACATCAATCTGATTAACTTCAAGTAACTTCAGTATTCCCACAACAACCATGAAACTTGTAACAACCTCTTCTACAAAGAAGATTTTAAAAACTTTTAATCACTTTAAACAGAAATATGACCTAATATACAATTAGAAACTTCATGTAAAAACTTATTTCTGAAAAACTGAAGCAACAATAGAGTAATTTCAAGTTTACCAGATGTGTGACTTCATACACATGACTGAAAAAACAGCATTGATTGATTTGAAAAATAAAAAACAGTAAATTTGTATTTGCTGGAAGCGTGTCTCCATATAAAGGATTTAAAAATACAAAATAATAAAATACAAAAACCTCTTCTGAAGGTGTCACCACATACGGAGGATTAAACACAAGAAGATCCACCTGGCTAAGAAGTCTGGATCTAACAGCTGATGTCTGTTGCAGGAAAACACAAGGTTATTTCTTATGCTTATAACTATATTCTGTAATTGCTAATATATTAAAACATTTTAGGATATTAAGTGCTATATTAATTTAACTCCATACACAATTCCTAAGATATTTTGCTTAGTACCTTTCAAACTATTTAATGTTAATTGAGCTGCTAATTCAGTCTTTCGAGAAATGTCAAGAATAAGATAGGAACTCAGAACAATGATGCAATTCACGTATTATTAATCCATCTTCCTAAAATATTTTGTTCATTACATGTACCTTTAAACTGATGGGAGGTGGGGGTGCTGAAGAGTAAAGATGATTGAAAGCTAAGCTCTAGACATTATGTTTTTATTTATAATATTCTTCTTAACTTCTAGCAAATACTACTTGGATCAATTAACTTAAATTTAGCAATTTTATATTATATCATTAAATTAAGTTTAGGTTTATTTGCCCTGTTGTTATAGTGTCAAGCAGGTGGTAAATTGTAGGTCTATTCTTTAGTGTTGAGCAGATAGTAAATTGTAGGCCTATTCTGTAGTGTTGAACAGATAGTAAATATTAGGCCTATTCTATAATGTTGAACAGATAGTAAATTGTAGGTCTATTCTGTAGTGTTGAACGGATAGTAAATAGTAGGCCTATTCTGTAATGTTGAGCAGATAGTAAAAAGTAGGCCTATTCTGTAGTGTTGAACGGATAGTAAATAGTAGACCTATTCTGTAGCGTTGAGTAGATAGTAAAAAGTAGACCTATTCTGTAGTGTTGAACGGATAGTAAATAGTAGGCATATTCTGTAATGTTGAGCAGATAGTAAATAGTAGGTCTATTCTGTAGTGTTGAACAGATAGTAAATAGTAGGCCTATTCTGTAGTGTTGAACGGATAGTAAATAGTAGGCCTATTCTGTAGTGTTGAACGGATAGTAAATAGTAGGCCTATTCTGTAATGTTGAGCAGATAGTAAAAAGTAAGCCTATTCTGTAGTGTTGAACGGATAGTAAATAGTAGACCTATTCTGTAGTGTTGAGCAGATAGTAAAAAGTAGGCCTATTCTGTAGTGTTGAACGGATAGCAAATAGTAGGCATATTCTGTAATGTTGAACGGATAGTAAATAGTAGGCATATTCTGTAATGTTGAGTAGATAGTAAATAGTAGATCTATTCTGTAGTGTTGAACAGATAGTAAATAGTAGGCCTATTCTGTAGTGTTGAACAGAGTAAATAGTAGGCCTATTCTGTAGTGTTGAACAGAGAGTAAATAGTAGGCCTATTCTATAATATCAAACAGATAGTCAATAGTAGGCCTATTCTCTAATGTCGAGCAGATATTCAATAGTAGGCCTATTCTGTAATGTTGAGCAGATAGTAAAAAGTAGGCCTATTCTGTAGTGTTGAATGGATAGTAAATAGTAGGCCTATTCTGTAATGTTGAGAAGATATTAAAAAGTAGGCCTATTCTGTAGTGTTGAATGGATAGTAAATAGTAGGCCTATTCTGTAATGTTGAACAGATAGTAAAAAGTAGGCCTATTCTGTAGTGTTGAACGGATAGTAAATAGTAGGCATATTCTGTAATGTTGAGCAGATAGTAAATAGTAGGTCTATTCTGTAGTGTTGAACGGATAGTAAATAGTAGGCCTATTCTGTAATGTTGAGCAGATAGTAAATAGTAGGCCTATTCTGTAGCGTTGAACACATAGTAAATAGTAGGCCTATTCTATAATGCAGAGCAGAAAGTAAATAGTAGGCCTATTCTATAGTACCAAATAGTCATGTTAAATAGTAAATTAGTAGGCATATTCATTAACAGTTAAGAGATTAGTGACTGGGAAAATGGCAAAATGAAACAACAGTATACAGCCAGGTTGCTGTTAAGCAAAAGACCTAACTTCATTGTCTTTGAAAAAAAAAATCATATTTATTATATTAAATTAAAAAAAAAGAAACATCTGGCATACTTAGTTAAGCCTTTAATGCCTTTGTCTCATTGATTGTAGTTAGAAATATTAATACTCTTTAATTTCTTATAAATATTTTAGTTAATCTTGAGAATACAATAGTTAACTTGGATTAATCTGCTTAATTTGTGAAATTATATAACAGTTTGCTGATGCTATGCAGTATTAACAAAAAGCAATAACAGACAATCAAGACAAAAATATAATTCCCTCCTAGAGAAGACTGTGTTGTTTGCCAAAGAAGTATTGTATTTTGACACTGCACTTACCAAGTCAGTAACAACTGGTTCAACGGTGACCTTGTTTGTTTCTGCCATCTTTTTGGTGGCAAGGGCAGCTACATGGTTGATATCCGTAGCCCTAAAACAAAACAAACAATTACTTATGCAAAACAAAAATTTTCTACGTAGAATTCCAATATGTTTATAGTGCAATGAAAAAAATTCCATCAATTATAGCTTAATTTATACTTTCAACTAAATCTATCACCATAAGCAACAAGTTCCTTCTTAATGTGTACGTACAAAGATTTCCAGTAAATTTGCCTTATAATTATGCATTAAAAGAAATTCCTGCCTTGACCACTAGTAATTAATATTAACTTCTGATCAGAGCAAACTACTTCCTTGTAACAAAACCTAAAATCAACTTGATTATGAGCATAGCTAAGCAATTATACTCTTCTTATAAATATTATAATACATTGTTGTATCAATTAGGTACCATGAGTTAACAATATTTTTGGCTGTAAACCCAATAATATCTCACGAGGTTTGGCAAGATTAGGTGATTTCTTTTTATATTAGTCCTGAATCAATGTGCTAAACTAACATTATAAAGCAACCTCTATAATAAAAGAATGAAAAATATATGTTCAAAATAATAAAACTATACATATATATAAATGTTACAGAATAGAGTTACCATGTAAAGTCAACTAGCCATTTTACAAGATACACCATAAATATTATTATCTCATACATTTACTACGCTTGTTGCTATTATATAAATAATGTTATCCTACTTAATGATGTTAACTCTTTCAATAAACTAATGTTAATCCTTCATCTAAAGCATGATATATTTCTCATGAAAAAGCAGTTTTCTTTATAAATTGAAATAATGTTAAGCAGTGCTGAGATTATTTATATTCTGATAAAAAGGTAGCATTTTTCCCCTGGTGACAGAATATCACTGAAGTGTGGCAATTTTTTTAAGTTTTTAGCATTTTTACATATAGTTAATGTGAAATGTAGTATCTCTATTTCAATTTGTTAATATTTTGTTGCGTATCCGTAAGTGCGACTCGGTCTGAAACAGTTGTTTCAATGCCACCATAGTTAATTTCAAAATGAAAACACATAGCATATGATAGTTATATTGTTATACAGTAATATGGGATTATTTTGTGCAGTATGTTTTGTGAAAACTACAAAATGTGCTGTGTTGTCTTCCTACATAAATATTTTTCTATTATTATTTTTGTATGCTTGTCAACTTTGACCAATTAATGTCACTCTTCTAATTTAATGTAGGAAAAAGTTACATTTAGAAGTGAGCTTGGAAAATTTAAAATGTCTCCATTATAAAATTGATAAATTTAATTTAATTTAAAAAGGGAACCTTGTAAACAACAATCAGTGAGCTTAGTAAAGATCAAAGCTTCATTACTGTATAGAGTTTAGAAAGTCAGTGTGACTAAGTTTTCAGATGTTACCAGACAGTGGGTTTAACAAATCACTTGGATTTTGGGCCACTACATTTATACTACATGAAACCAGAGTATTCATACAAACTACGTCAGGCATTACATCCATACTTAACGTACAATATTCCACTATAATACAAGTTGTTATATAACTCTAGTGCACAAATAGTGAATAAAGTTTTAGTAAATAAACTACCGAAAATAAATAAAGCACATTTATTAAGAAACACATATATATGTGAAACAAACCCAGATTTAACAACCATAAATCTTCTATTAACATTCAAAAAATGCTTATCACTTACCCAAAATTTAAAACAGCTTGGCTCTTCAATTAAAAATAGTTCTTTTTTTTAGATTTCAAAATCAAGATTAAATCTAAAGCATAAAGAAAACAATGTGATTTGGCTGTAAGTCTTCACTACAAAATTCACTATAAATTTTTTGTAGTTCTCACTTTAATTGTATCTCTTGATAAAAACTTTTTTTCAGACCAAAAAGTTGAGCCAATAAAATAATTTTAAATCACTCTGGAGGTACAGATCATTTTATTTATATACAAATGGTATCTTGTATGACACATAATTAATTGATCACATTTTAGTAAACAATCAACTATTTATATGCTATTTTCACCTGCACACACTTTTACATGAATCAGATGTTTTGTTTGATAGCCCTTTAAATTATACATGTGCTTGTACACCAAACAAGGCCAAACTGAAAATTTTAGAACATAACAAATAGTAGATATCACAGAAATATAGCAACAGTAAATATAACAAATTACATATTTGGAATAAGACAGATTTAAATGTATTTACACAATATAAAAATATATATTAAATACAGTAATTTCTTATCTTAAATTAATTGCAAATTTAGAGCACAATGGAAATTACAAATAGAATAACATACTCATAATTTGGTGCTA